AGAGGGGGGTGAGGAAGAGAGAGAGAGAGAGGGGGGTGAGAAGAGAGAGAGAAGAGGCGTGGGTGAGGAAGAGAGAGGGGGGGTGAGGAAGAGAGAGAGAGAGGGGGGTGAGGAACGAGAGAGAGAGAGAGGGGGGGGTGAGGAGGGAGAGAGAGAGAGGGGGGGTGAGGAAGAAAGAGAGAGAGGGGGGGGTGAGGAAGAGAGAGAGAGAGGGGGGGGTGAGGAAGAGAGGAGAGAGGGGGGGTGAGGAGAGAGAGAGAGAGAGAGAGGGAGGGTGAGGAAAGGAGAGAGAGGGGGGGTGAGGAGAGAGGAGAGGGGGGTGAGGGAAGAGAGAGAGAGGGGGGGTGAGGAAGAGAGAGAGAGGGGGGTGAGAAGGAGAGAGAGAGGGGTGAGAAGAGAGAGAGGAGAGAGGCGGGTGAGGAAGAGAGAGAGAGGAGAGGGGGTGAGAGAAGAGAGAGAGGCTGGTGGGGGAGTGCGAGGGATGAAGAGGAAGATGAGAGAGAGAGAGAGGCGGGGTGAGGAAGAGAGAGAGAGAGAGAGAGAGGGTGAGGAAGAGAGAGGAGAGAGGAGGGGGGGGTGAGAAGAGAGAGAGAGAGAGGGGGGTGAGGAAGAGAGAGAGAGAGAGAGGGAGTGAGGAAGAGAGAGAGAGAGGGGAGGTGAGGAAGAGAGAGAGAGAGAGGGGGGTGAGGAAAGAGAGAGGAGAGGGAGAGAGAGAGAGGAGAGAGGAGAGAGAGAGAGAGAGGGGGGTGAGGAGAGAGAGAGAGAGAGGGGGGTGAGGAGAGAGAGAGGGGGGGTGAGGAAGAGAGAAGAGGGGGTGAGGAAGAGAGAGAGAGAGAGGGGGGGTGAGGAAGAGAGAGAGGGGGGGTGAGGAAGAGAGAGAGGAGGGGTGAGGAAGAGAGAGAGGGAGGGGTGAGAAGAGAGAGAGAGGAGGGTGAGGAAGAGAGAGAGGGGGGTGAGGAGAGAGAGAGAAAGGGGGGTGAGGAAGAGAGAGAGAGGGGGGGTGAAGAAGAGAGAGAGAGAGGGGGGTGAGAAAGAGAGAGAGGGGGGTGAGGAAGAGAGAGAGAGAGAGGGGGGTGAGGAAGAGAGAGAGAGGGGGGTGAGGAAGAGAGAGAGAGAGAGAGAGGGGGTGAGGAAGAGAGAGAGAGAGTGGGGGTGAGAAGAGAGAGAGAGAGTGGGGTGAGGAAGAGAGAGAGAGGGGGGGGTGAGGAAGAGAGAGGAGAGGGGGGGTGAGGAAGAGAGAGAGAGAGAGGGGGGGGTGAGGAAGAGAGAGAGAGAGGGGGGGGTGAGGAAGAGAGAGAGAGGGGGGGGGGTGAGGAAGAGAGAGAGAGAGGGGGGGTGAGGAAGAGAGAGAGAGAGGGGGGGTGAGGAAGAGAGAGAGAGAGGGGGGGTGAGGAAGAGAGAGGGAGAGAAAGAGAGAGGGGGAGAGAAAGAGAGAGGGGGGAGAGAAAAGAGAGGGAGAGAAAGGCAGGGAGAGAAAAAAAGAAAGAGAGATAGATAAGCAATCTCTGTCCGATAAGCCAATAGCACAGGGCTTACAAGATTTGGTGCCAAACGTTGTTGGTCGACAGTTTGTCAACGGAAAAATGGATGAGAAATGGTCTGAATGGGTTAATGTTTATTACAGTTAGATGTCAGGATCACCTTATTACCTTTATTGCCTGCTGTCAGGGAGAAGAAAGTGTCCCATATTGAAAAAGGGCAGATTTGTAGAATACAGAAAAATGAAGGATAAAGGAGTTTGCTGTACTGAAATTGAAAATTTTAATTTGCTGATTCCTTTTAATTGCATGTATTATTGACTAAGTATGGGATTATTGAATTTTTCACTTAAACAAGTAATACCAAATTATAATATTTCATAATTTTGTTGTGGTTGCCTGAAGCACTTTAATGCCTTGTTTCATCATTTCAGGCATTGGCATGGATGCAAGTGTAACTCCACTACGTCATGGTGGCCTTTCTCTTGTTCAAACCACAGACTTCTTCTACCCTCTGGTAGATGACCCATACATGATGGGTAAGTTCTTTCCTGCCTGAGAATGAAAGGAACAACATTACAGGCACAATTATCATTGTGCCTGTAATGTTCCTTTCATTTTTTTATTTTTTTATTTTTGTTCTTTTTTCTTTTTTTCTTTTGTTTGTGTATCTAATTTATAAGATGTGATTATAAAAAGAGTAATAGGCTATTTCTTGTTTCAGGTAAAATTACTTGCGCTAATGTTCTTAGTGATCTTTTTGCAATGGGTGTAACTGACTGTGACAACATGCTTATGCTTTTGGGTGTCTCTACAAAAATGACAGAAAAGGAAAGAGATGTTGTTGTGCCTCTTATGATGAGAGGGTTTAAGGTATAGTCTTAATGTCCTGTTTTTTTGAAGAGCTATTTTTATGTGAACTATGATGAATTATTTGTATTTGATTGAAAGTTTCATTCAAAGATGACCTAAGAGATAATATTTTTGTTGTATGAAGAGTTTCAGAAAATTTGCAGCACGTCTTCAAAGTTATACCTCTAATTTTCAGGATGCTGCTCTAGAAGCTAACACATCTGTGACAGGTGGCCAGACTGTGATGAACCCCTGGTGTACCATTGGGGGTGTTGCTACAACTGTATGTCAGTCCAACGAGTTCATTGTGTAAGTGTGGTGGCTGTTTTGTACATATCCAAATGGACCAATAGTATATTGCTGCAGCAGTAGTATTTTATCCATTAGCTCATTTGATATTCATAATACATAAAATTAAATGAGTATAATGATACTAGTATGGTTGCCTGGTGGTCTTTTTCTTTTTCTTTTTCGGTCAAAATCCTTTGATGAAAGTAGGATGAATTGTTCTCCTGTTTGACATCTTTTAATCCATTGATGATGGGATTTCCTTTCACCATATGGAGAGAGACTTACACTTCATGCAGCTATTAGCTTGAACAAAAATTTGGAGTGCAGGAAACATGTATTTATCTTGCTCTCTCCACTTTTGCTTGTGGCATTCACAGTTTTTAAAGAAATTAATCTAAAAACATACTATCAGCCTTCTTTGGAAGGACATAGCACTGAGAGCAGGCTTTGACAATGTATGGATGGATACTTGCTAACCAGTATTTGGGCCTGGTTCCCCATGTCATTTGATGCCGGCTTAAATAGGTTAAGGGATTAACTAAAGAATTTTGGAAATAGTGCAGTTGTGGTTGTGTGAAAATTATATGCACAAAATTAAAAGTAATTTTCCCATTTAATGAAAAATATAGATTTATTTTTTGTTTATTATTTTTGATATCTAGTTGCAGTGATGCTTGGTGTATAGGTTACCTAAGGTTTACATAGGAAAAAACATTAAGATACTTTTTAATCCTAAAAGCTTAAACTTTTTTACAGGGAAATTTGTGTAGAAGTGTAGGTCTAGGGAAATTTCAGACTTTTATGCCAGTACTGTCTTTTAAAAGGTATTAGAATTAGTAACTATTCTTTACCTATCCTGAGGTAACCTTTTGGTTTATAGAAATATCTGATATATGTTCCCCATTTAGGCCAGACTGTGCAGTTGTTGGTGATGTTCTGGTGCTTACAAAACCTCTAGGAACTCAAGTAGCTGTTAATGCGCATCAGTGGTTAGATCAGCCTGAGAGATGGAATCGCATCAAACTTGTCGTCTCAGAAGAGGACGTTCGCAAAGCTTACCAGAGAGCTATGGACTCTATGGCCCGTCTCAATAGAACAGGTATGTGCAGAATGATATTCACTGTTTGTTTTGAGCTATGTTTTGTATTAGAATACTTTAGGAAAGAATGTTAATAAAATGCTATGTTATGGTAATCCTTCCATAGTATTTCCATGATTTTTTCATTTTAAGTAAAGTTAATAAATATTTTTCTCTTTAAAAATTATTAAAACATCTTATTTTTGTATGTTGATTGAAGTGAATTAGATGTTAACCCATTGGATCAAAGTGGTTGTGGCCTACACGAGACTTGGCCTGGCCTTACTAGAGTGGGGACTCTCCTGAATGTATTGTTTGTAAAACCAGCCCACAAGAACACTCATGTGGGGTATCAAGACTCCTTGTATCCCCATTGCAATGTTGATCTGTATGAGTGTTTACCAGCACACTCGAATGCTACCTCTGGTTGGTGACATGAAGTCGCACCAGAGGTAGTTACCCGCCAGCCGCCATTCGAGATAGGTGTCCGTAGCTCCTGTTATTTCTCTAAATAAATTTATACACGCATACCTGCGTTTGCTCTCATCACCTCCAGCTCCTACATGGCGCAGTGAGTAGGATGAGTACCGAGGATATTTCGGAGGTGCCTGTTAGCAACGAGGGCGTGGTATTTATGCAAGCAACCAGTGAAACAAAGGATGGGAGAGCTGACCATGTGCAGTCACCGGCCAGATCACTGGTGCCTCCTATAGCATTCCCTAGGCAGTTCTCACCCAGCCCTGACTTCACCCCGACCCCAGCAAGGACGGCTTGGCCAGTAGCTCAGAATCAACGGCCACCGCTCCCACCGGCAGGGCCAGGAGGAGCGACCGTTGGTATGTCGCCGTCAGCCTTTGAATCGAGGACCGTTAGTGTAAAGGACTACGGCAACATTTGCGGATGGATGCCGCCATTGGCCGCCTCCTACGTAAGACTCCTGTGCAGCGGCGAGGTACAGCAGCGTATTGACGCTCGTTTGAACAGGCAGGAATTCCGGCTACTATCGACCACAGCAGCAGTCGACACTGTAAGAAGTGTAGTGATCGGGCCTCGGTGTGTGGTCGGTGCATGGTCCGATTTTTTCACATACTCGCAAGCTCCTAGTGACACCATATGTGCATACCTATCGAAATGTCGAGCCATGGCAGGTGAGTGTAAATTCCAGTGCCCTAAGTGTCGATGCGACCGTAGCATGAAGGCAGAAGTGCTAAGGTGCATCCCCCACCTTGAGTCAGTGAATGACATAATTCGTATGTGTGAGGTAATAGAGTCTGCTGAAAAAGCAGCAGGTAGGAGTGCCGTTGGTAATGTGGCAAGTGTGTTGGCTACACAGGACCCGGTCATGAAGTCACCATCCCCCTCCCCGGACCCCACACATATTGAAGTAGCAGCGTCAGGCGCATCACGTCGACCTAACGACCAGCAATCTTCACGTTACACTGGAGCCAGACGTGGTCGTAAATGCTGCAGGGGATGCGGGGACAGTGACTGTCGAGGAGACCGCCAATGTCGTGCCTTTGGGGTTGTTTGCCGCTCGTGTGGACTTAAGGGGCACTTCTGGCGCCAGTGCCCAACCCTCACCCCAAAAGGCAGTGCTGTCACATCCAGTGCAGTGACAGTAGGGAGTGTGGACACATTGGCATCCTTGCCTGTTATAGTTGTCTGTGGTAACCTTCGCGCCAGGTGCTCGACCATGGCTGTGGCAGACACTGGCGCCCAGGTGTCCATGGCAGGGCGCACATTATTGAACAATCTTGGCATCCTGCAGCACCAACTACAACCAGCACCTGTAGCAGTCAATCATGTTGCTGGGGGTGGGCGTGCGTCTCCTTGGAAGCTTGATCTGCCAGCTTGTGGTGGGTCCTGTTACTACGAATGAACGCATTTTCTTTGCAAACGGGGTCGAGCGTCTCTACCTGTCTCTCGGAGCATGCAAGTCGTTATGTCTAGTACCGCCTGAGTTCCCATGCCACTCAGTATCCATCTGTTCGGTAGCACCCCTAGACATCCCACAGGTCCCAACACGTCCAGAGGAGCCACCTTACGAGCTGGTAGAAGAGAATGTGGACCGTCTAGAGAAATGGTTCCTAGAACACTTTGGGCGCACGGTATTTGCTGTGGGACGTGCACCCCTCCCAGAAATGCAAGGTCCGCCACATCACATCCACCTGCGTCCAGACACACCCACATGCAGTCCATGTCCCAGCTACAGTGCCACACCACTTCTACGATGAAGTGCGACAACAGTTAGATGATGATATCAAAAAGGGAATCATTGAAGCAGTACCTGCTGGTGAACCAACTGAATGGTGTTCACGAATGGTGGTTGTACCCAAGAAGGACGGAAGACCCGTAGGACAGTCGATTTCCAGGGCTCAATCGGGCGAGCATGAGAGAAACACACCACACAGGCCCCCTTTGACCTCATCACTAGTGTGCCAAAGCATACCTTCAAGACTGTAGCTGACGCATACTCTGGGTACCATCAAATACCACTTGACAAGGAGAGCCGCAAATTAACAACATTCATCACCCCATGGGGTCGATTCAGATACTGTAGAACTCCCATGGGACATTGTGCTGCACAGGATGCATTTACTAAACGCCTCGATGACATAATCAGCACTGTGCCCAGAAAGATGAAGTGTGTTGATGATACGCTGTTGTACGACGGGAGTATTGCTGAGGCATTCTGGCACACATATGACTTCCTGCTAAAGTGCATGGAGAATGGTGTAACCCTGAGACCAGACAAATTTCACTTCTGCAAAAGAAGCGTTACATTCGCTGGGTACGTTCTTGATTGGGAAGAATACCAACCCAGCAAGGACCTCGTCAGGAGCATTATGGAGTTCACAATGCCTACCCGGCCCACTTTAACCGATGTCCGTGCATGGTTTGGTTTGGTCAACCAAGTGGCACCATTCCTGGCAGTGGCCCCCATCATGGAGCCCTTTAGAGAGCTCCTAAAGAAGCCAGTAGCGAAGTCGGTGTACTGGGACGAACAGCTGCAAGCCATATTTTCATCGGCAAAGGATACCATTGGACAGCTGGCTGCTGCAGGGTTACGCTACTATGACGTCTCACGTCCAACGGCCGCATTCACTGACTACAGTCGCCAGGGTATTGGATTTCTTGTCATGCAACAGTACTGCCAGTGTATATCTCAGGAGTCACCGCTGTGCTGCACAGGCGGGTGGAAACTAGTGTTGTGTGGTAGCAGGCACCTAACGGCTGCAGAAAAAAACTACAGTACCCTCGAAGGGGAAGCCCTTGCTATCGCATGGTGCCTCAAGAAGGCGCGCCTCTTTCTACTGGGCTGTAGGAACCTCACATTCATCACCCCACAAAGCTCTCACCAGAATTTTTGGTGATAAGGAACTAAAGGACATCAACAACCCTCGTATTTTGAACCTTAAAGAGAGGACGCTCATGTACTCCTTCCGTATCAAATACCTGAAAGGCAAGACGAACTGTGCAGCAGATGCATTGTCTCGGTACCCAATGCTGTTGGGCCACCCAGAGGAGTCCGATGAAGCCGATGATGAACTGGTGTGTGCAACCATAGTAGCAGCTGCATCAGAAGCAGTTGAAGGTGATGGAGGGCGTGTTGTGGACATCCAACAGGTCGAAGAGGAAGCAGCCAAGGATGAAGAATACCGGTTGCTACATGAATGTGTGTCCAACGAGGGCTGGACTGACCGCAAGGACATGGAGCCGCTTGCTCTACGGCCATATTTCAGGATGCGTCGTCACTTGTCATGCCAAGGAAATCTTATCTTGTACACCAATGATGAGAAACAACCACGTCTGGTTATCCCCATGGCCCTCAGACGTACTGTGCTCACTAATCTCCACGCAGGTCATCAGGGTAGAGACTCTATGCTCCGCAGAGCACGCCAGTCAGTCTACTGGCCTGGCATTGATGCTGAAGTGGAACAGAAGCGGCGCCAGTGCCAGGTATGTGAGACATGTGCCCCTTCCAACAGCAGAAACTCATGCCAACACCATCCCCCCAGTACCCATTTCAGCAGGTCGTAGCAGACCTGTTCCAGCTCAACGGCCAGAACTACATTGCCTACGCCGATAGATTGACAGGTTGGTTGGAAGTGGAACATCTACCAGGGGACACCACAAGTGCATGTCTCATAGTTGTCTTCAGGAGGTGGTTCAGGCGATTTGGAATCCCAGAGGAGCTGTCATGTGATGGGGGTACAAATCTTATCAGCCAAGAATCAAGGAGTTTTTTCGATGCATGGTGTGTGTGGCTAAGAATTTCGTCGGCTCACTATCCCCAGTCCAACGGACGTGCAGAAGTGGCTGTCAAATCCGTTAAGAGGATATTACGAGGCAACACTATGATGAATGGATCTCTGGACACTGATGCCGCCGCTAAAGCCCTCATGCAATACCTCAACACCCCTCTACAGAACTCTAATGCTTCTCCAGCCCAGCTGCTGACTGGGCGTCAGTTAAGAGATGCCATCCCAGTAGACAGCTCGAATTATAGGGTCAGCGAGCAGTGGTCTCGGTTACTGAGGAGCCGTGAACGAGCCTTGCAACAATTGGGAAAAAATGCCTCATTAAGACACAACGTGTCAGCCCATGACCTCACGCCCATTGAACCAGGAAAACGCGCCCGTATCCAGAACCCCAGCAGCAGGCGTTGGGACTTGGGCACCATTGTAGAGCTGACAGCACCTCGACAGTATTTGGTAAGGCTTGATGGCAGTGGAAGAGCCACAATAAGAAACAGACGGCACCTCCGTCCTCTCATGAGTGAAACCCAGGCCCAATCACAAGACGGAGGAAGCAGTAATCCAGTACCCCCTTCCACCGCTGCAAGACCGAGACGCGTCAGACGTGCCCCGCAACATTTGAATGATTATATAGTTTATAATGTCACGGAATGAGGAACTACTCAGGAATCTTTCTTTTGTATGTGTAAAACACATGGATATTTTGTTCAATTTTATATTGCCTCTGTTTACTCTCACCGCCGTATATGTTCATTACACAAG